GCCCTCTTATAAACAAGTATTATAGAAGTACTACAGATGTCTCAAGAAAGAATTTAAGAAAACACTATCCTAGCTTGCTCACATTAATGAGAGAAACTTGATCCTTCCTACCAAATACATGTATCATGAAAAGCAGGTCTTGTTAATGAGAAATGAGTGCCAACACACATACCAAGAATCAGTAATACAAAATGCCCAAACTTGTCTTCCAGTCACCTATCTTAAAAAGCAAGCAAGGGAGGGGCTGGGAGGCTGTCTTTAATCCCAGCACTTGGGAGGCAGAGGCAGGCAGATCTCTGAGTTTGAGGCCAACCTGGTCTAGATTGAGTTCCAGGAGAGGTAGGGATACACAGAGACACCCTGTCTTGAAAAACTAAAAAACAAAAACAAAACAAAAACCACAAACACACAAAACAAAACCTAGAAACAAAACAAAGCAAGCAAAGCAAGGGATCAGAACACTTAAATAGTGCCAAAGAGGCACTTGGCCCATCAATTAATCACTGTAAAGCCCGAGGTTAACATCTGGCTCACAGGACACAAACATTCACAAACACTGCTGAGGTGTGTTCTCTGGGGGGGGGGGGGGGGGCGACTAATTAATGCCCTCAGTGGCTCAGCTGTCAGCTAGCTTAGGCTTTCTACCACTGAGAGCTCACTGGAGCACAGGTCTGAATAGGATCCCACAACATCAGCAAAGGGCCCTGGCCTCTCTGATGGCACATGCTTCTACACAAGCCACCCAATTGTCCCCTGCATTTCAGCTTATGAGAGCACACAAACAACTCAGAGCGGACTAACCACCACCAGTTCCTAACAGAACTCTTCTGACCTCAGAATGACCATTCCTTGCCAATTCCTTATTCATAAATAGGATATAGGTTCTTCACCAAACATAACTGAGTAATTTTAAAGATTCAAAAGCTGCTCTTCTCAAGAGCAAGGGGCTGGAGATGGCTCAGCAGTTAGCAGCACTTTCTATTTACTTTCAGCGGCTCCAGGGTTGACTCCCATCATCCAAAGGGCAGCTCACTACTGTCTGTAACTCCAATTCCAGGGACCCAAGGGCCTTCTTTAACCCCCAAAGGCAGCAGGCACATATATGATGCACAGATATATATGCAGGCAACCCCCCCAAACATATTAAAAAAATGTGTCTTAAGTGAAATAGCAAACCAATCATAGCTAGAGGATAAATGAAGAAACTCAACTAAATCTCAGAGGTAGAAGGGACTTTACATGAAGCAGTCTGGCACATGGGGGCCCCAACTTAATGCTGCTTCAGGGTTCACATTCACAGCAAAGCAGGAATGTGTAGATAAGGCTCACAACTGAGAGTACTGCTCATCACAGAGACCATACATGACCAAGTTCATTGTAAGTGAAATGAGATGTTTAGAGCAAGTAAACAGACTCTGGAAACTGCTCTCTGCCCAGTAGTAAACAGAAACTGTATCCAGACTTTACCCCGTTTTAATTCCCCCCCCCCCCAAGTATCAAGACCTTCCCAATTCCCTTTCTCTGAGATGTAGCTCTCCCAGGAAATTCGCAAAGCTGGTACCCAAGCACCATGCAACAAGATCAGTCCCTGAAAGGCTTTGCAGCTCAGTTCCTAATGTCTTCAGATATACAATGGAGACCTGGTGGCTTTGGCATCAGGTAGTAACTTGCCATTTTAAGGTTGTTAAAGAGAATCCTCCAGGACAGACAAACCTCAGACTTGAGGGTGAAAATGTTTTGGGGAAATTCCACAAGTTAGAATATCAAATGCCAAAACATGCCTGTATCCAGTATCTAGTGGTAGAATGACAATCTTAAGCTGATGTCATCCCTAAAACAATTTTACATCATAAAAAAAAAAAAAAACTGTAAAGGAAAAGCCACGCGAAGCATCTGAAAGGTTATATAGATATGACTAAAAAACACAGCACACAGCATTTTCTGTTACATTTACTTCATGATTACAACGAACTGCACTTTGATTTTTCAGTGCTAGGGACTAATCCAGGGCCTCATACACACTATGCAATCCAACCATGACCGAGATACATCCCAGTGCTAGAAAACATGTACACCTATCTCTGAGGTTCTTTCCTTGCAACTCCTTACTGATCGACCGGCCTGTCTGTGCATATGTTCTAAGTCTGCCTGAAAGAACTACCACTGGCCAAGGCTAACACCTTGGCTGCTGGTATTAGAGCCTTTTATTTATTTATTTTTTTTATTTTTTATTTTTTTTAAGGAGTCTATTATCTACTGCTAAAGAAATCTTCCTGGAGTCAAAAGGAGACAGTTAAACCAGATTTACAGAATAATAAATGAAGAGTCACTTACAAATAGCTCTTCAAAGAAGCCCATGAGCATTTCTACTGTTTATGAAAAGTGAAAGCCCTGTTTATCTATGTTTAGAAAGGGCTGAACTTAGTGATGAACTCAGCAGAACACTTGAGTTTCCTAATGCAAACCAGTCATGTGCTCTGTTCCCTCTCAGCTCTTACCTGGGTCCCTGGTCAAGGCCTTCCTTTATCCAGGGATTCTAGGACCCTGTACCAGAAGCTTCTAGAAGCTGCGTGTTACTGGGGTACCTGGTAAATTTCAAACTAGGGTACAGTGACTGATCTCTGGTTCAAACACATAATGGAAGCTTCAGTTTTTATTTGTTCTATATGTTAATGAGCAAGCCCTGGAGACCTATAGGGTGCCTGCCATGACAGTCCTAACATTTCAGTGAGTTTATATGACATGGAGCACCTATAACTGAAGGGAAGAGCCATTTGCCAAACACCCTGCTCCTTACATGCACTCGTATCTTTAAATTTCAACAGATGTAGCAAATTCTGTTTAACATCTTAAGTCACAATGACCAAGTCACTTTTTACCCTTTCACAGTGACTGTTGCTAATATAGTCCATCCCTGAACAATTTTCAAATTCACTTTTTTTTTCTTTTACCAAAAAGCCCCATTTTCCTTATGTGTGGTGAGTATTCATTAGTATTCTGATAGAAGGTACCTGTCTATAACTGTATCATTTTACTTTCTTTTCTAATCAACTAATCAACCATAATGAGTTTAAAATTTTGAATGTTTTATTTTTTTCCGACATTAAGATATAAAGAAAAAGGAGGCGGGACTAGAAAGCTAGCTAAATTGGAAAAGTGACTCCCTTCAATTCCAAAACCCATGTAAAAATGCTGGGCGTGGTGGTATAAATTAGTAACCCCAGCACCAGGAGGATCCCTGAGGCTCACTGGCTGGCAGGTCTAGCTGAATTTGTGAGTTCCAGATTGGTCAGAGGTGTCTCGAAGGAGGTGGGTGGCCAGGGTAAACACTGGTTTGCACATGCGTGTTCAACCACACCCGGGAGATTTTAAGAACTTGGTACTTTTAGAAATCATGAAAGTAAACAGAAGGGAACGAGAGTTAACCAGCCTATTCGGATGCTGGGAACAAAGAAAGCCTGTTTCATATCCCTGCTCCCAACCAAAAGAAGATTTGGCGTAAATAAATGGCTTTTCTTGAGAGATTGCTAATTTTAGCTTCTTAGTCAAGTAGGTGTATGTTTAAAAAAAAAAAAAAATGATCCCCGTAAGCGCATGTGCTGCAGGACCTTCACAGAAAGTACCGATCAGAAAAATTGTTTAGTCCTTCAGATACAGCAAGTTTTGACTTAAAAAAAAAAAAAAAAAAAGCAAGGAACTGAACTTATAAAATGGTAAATAGTTCTAACCCAAAAGTGAGAGGCATCAACTTCACTAAACTCTTAGGATCCTTTTCTTTTTCTCAGAGCTCTGGGGAGGTGATCAAATACCAATTCAATCAAAATAAAAAATGACAATACCTGGAACAGGTTGGAGTTGGTAAGTGAAAACTAGAATGTCCTTAGGAAAGCGTGTTTTCTAGCTTGGTAAAAGGTACAAGTATACTCCGCCTTACATAATATTCATGCTTATGACCCAAGGGATTTTACACATTTGTTTTAGACCATCTCTATGCACCTGAGCCTGACCTCAGAGTCACAATCCTGTTACTGTCTGCAGGATTGGAGACCATGGTGAACGGCTTAACAATTCTCATGTCCACTGCAGCTCACCTTTGCAGGCCCCACATCATAGAAACACCAGTTCTTCACAGTGTCACTAAAAAGATGGATAAAACTTAGGAGTCAATAATTTAGCCAGGCAAACTGAAAAAAAGTTTAGCTTAATTTGTTGCTTAAATAATTTCTGAATCTGAGAGGTGACTTTAATTTGTAGATAAAGCAGGAGTATGAGTTAGGACAAAAAGAAAAGTCAGCTGGTTGTTTTCAAAGCACTACGCTTCATAATGCAAATTAATGCCAGAAACAAGAAGATGGAGGACAGCTAGGGACAGAGGTCTGGTAATAGCAATATATATATGTATATATGTGTACACACACACACACACACACACACACACACACACACACACAAGATTGTTGTATTTCTAATCAGGATATTATAGTTTGAAAATAGAATTAAAATTTGTAATAGATGAAAATGCTGAAACTTACATAGAGCCAATTTACAGCATAATGTAGAAAAACCTATAGATGGAACAGACTACTACATATAAAGCTAATTACTTGGCAATATCCTTTAATCTGCAAATTATATAAAGAAAATGAACTGTAAATGAGGTGAAATATATATGATTATGTTACAGAACAAAAAGATGGGGTGAAACATTTTTTACCACCTTGACTATAAAAGACACTATGTCAAGCTGTGCTGAGAGAATGTAAGATACATAGCACACAGCACTCTCTTCAAAACAAAAGGGTGATTGAGCATTCCATATTCCCTTTGTGTTATTTACTATTCCTGACTTTGATGACATCTGCAGAGAACAGTGACATGATGTGTGGACTGTAAACAGCGAAGACCTGGGCTGTGTCAGGTGCGGAGTTTACCCCCAGTATCACTTGGTTTAGAATTAACACACTATCAGAAGATCACCTAAGTGTCACAAACAAGAAACATGTATATACTGCAATTTTATTTCAATCACACAAATGAAGTTAGCGTGTAGGAAATTTAAATGAAACAGTTATGGTAAAAACAGCAGAACTGAAAAACCTAAACAGAAAACACACGTGCAGCATGAGAACTGAACATTCATCAGTGTTTCATCTTTAGTTCTGATTGACACATTACGCTTGTAAATTTTTAAACAGACTTTGAGATCATGATGACTATTCTGAAGAGATTTCAGCACCACGCTAAGTTTGTACATTCAGTTGGTTTGCTATTGACTTGCTAGCCATTCACAGAGTGTATTGTACAGAGTTGTCGCAGGTCAGATCACAGTGTTGAGGAGAGCAGTGCCTTCCTGTAACTAGAAAGGATCCCTAAACTGTACTCAGCTGAAGACATTCAACACACAAAAGCAAAAACCCAGCATCACAATATGGTTCCAAGAAACAGTTTTGGGAAAATAACTTAAGCTCTGTTTCCCATTTTAATCACTGAAATCTCCAACAATGACAAGATTTCATGTATGACAGCGAATGTGTAGAACAGTCCAATTAAGCTCTATGAAGGAACACATTCAGCCATGTGGGATAATGCAATATATGATATGATGAAGCATATAGCATGAGTCAACACTGGTTCTTTTTTTTTTTTTTTGTCACTTTACAGACATTGTGTTAAATATTAGACCAAGGCACAAAACGTTTAGTGCATAAACCAGTTTCTTTTAGGACTTAGCATTGACTTTAGTGTTTTGTCTCACTTTGGACCACTTATACCCAGTACCCTACCTACTATAGACTATTAACTTCAGCAACAAAACGAAGTGACTTTTTATCAGCTCTGTAAGGGATGTACACATTTACATTATCAAAGTAGCTGCATAATCAGAAGTTCAACAGTAAAATGAAAGGCCTGCTTCTTTTAGAGAACAACTTACAAGCTTGCCACACCTTCAACACCTTTACTGTTACTGCGTGACAATAATGGGTAGAAAAAGAGCTGAATATCTCAACTATAATAGCTCATCCCTCATAAAATCTAAAAATGAAGTTTCTACAGAAACAGAAACTCTTAACAAGAAAAAAATATCCCTTATTCAAACATCTCTGTAGTGGTAATAACTGCAAATGGTACCATTTAGAAAACTATGCTGCTGTCAAGCTTTGTTTTACAACTGACATGTATGAAATCTAGAAAGCAAACGAAAGTAGATTATTTCTTCCATTTTTTAGTAAGAGTTTTGTTAACCAAAAATTCCAAAGCAAATATGGCACATTAATAACTCAAGCATAAATCATGATGGAGAGCCTCAAGAACTTTTGATTTCCTAGATTTTCCAAAAAGCTAACATTACAACATATAGGATTTCTCCCTTATTTTAATGTTGCCAATCATAAACATAAAGGGCTGGAACACACCCATGACATCCATCTCTCTCTCACACACACACACTCACACACACACTCACACACACTCTCTCTCACACACACACACACACACACACACACCCAGGGTGTAACAACATTAGACTCTTCCTACCACTTAAGTCTCAGTTTAGTTTTATTAAAAAAAAGCAAAAAACAAAAAACTGCAGAACTCCTCAGTGGCTTCCCTTTATCTGTGATTTCTGTGATCCTAATTGCTGCCATTACTGATATTTCTTGTATTTTAGCACAACAGAGGTTGAGAGCAGCTTCAGTCAGGAGCAAGCACCTGAGCACCTGCAGCACTGCGGGGGCCTAGAGATAACTGCCAAATTCAGTGATCAAACTTCTGAGTTCCACAGGGATGTAGCCCACGTGGAGCTCAGCATCATGCTTCAGACCATTCAAACTGCTGGTTAAAACACAAAAAGCTGAAGTCATGATGTAAATGATTAAGTACTCGGTTTTGTTAACATGTTTACTGATTAAAGTCACAAAATATTTCTCATTGTAATTCATGCAGGTAACTGAGAAAATAAAGACAGTGCAGAAATTAACTTTAAATAAAAAGTTATTCCTCCCCTTCCTCCCGCTTCCCTATACTCTACAAAATGTTTCCCCTGGGACTAGGCCTTGAAAAGGCCGCTACATATTAGTGTGGCATGCATTACCGCCTGTAATTAAAAAAGCTAACTTGGTGGTGACTGTAATTACATTATAAAAATGTCCACATGCATAAGTCTAAAAAAGGTTGAAAACCTACAGTAAATCTATAATAGAATGTTTTACATTTGACCACTGTTTGTTATATAGAAGTCATAGATTTGGTAAAGCATTGTAACAATTTAGGAAGGCATCTAAATCTTTAATTTCTGGACAGATTTATGTTTTAAACTACAAAATTGCATGAAGGCTAACCCGAGACACTTCCTATCACTCTAAAATTCCTCAAGTGGGACTAAACAGTTTAGGACCTTTCTTATAAATACCACCCTTTGAAAGCACATACAATTCCATTTGTTCCATACTTTATGATCTTAACTATTCACGGAATATCAAACATGATAGGAAGACAAACCTGAGAGAAACATTTGCAATGCAACAGCAGAACTTGCTAAATAAAATTCTTCGTCAGTGCCCTCTGAAAAAAACCTCTTAAGCCTTTCTCTTTTTTTATTTTAGCAATGGATTGCGGAAAACGTGCAATTTCATCTAGATATGAAAATATTTCAATGCACGGTGATCTTGCCTGACGGGCTTAGTACTGCTACGGGAGCTCAAATACAATTCTCCATCCTGCGGTGAAGGTCAGAACAAGAGCAGCACACTGGGAGGGAACAGCTGATTGCCAGAATCGCTATGTCTGAAGGCTTTCAGAGATTGGCGGTTTTCCCTCCTGACTGTGTATCCATTTTCTTCTTACAGCTTAAAAATTGTAGGGGGTTGTTAACAGTTGTTTGTAGGAATTTTTGTTTTTCTCCAGATTCAAGTCCTGTCTCCTTAGTTTGCTTCTCTATGCAGTATTCGACTTGCTCAGTTCCTGCCTGATTGCTGTAACAGGGAAGAAATAGTTTTCAAAGTCAACATATCAGAAAGGAAATACAGATGGAGGATTCATTCCTGAGAAATCTTCAGGGTTGTGTTCAAATTCCATTATCAAAAGATACAGAATTTAAATCTTCATCGTATAGATCTTTAATTCATAAAACTTAATTCATACCAAGCACATGTGATTATATTATCTCTTCCCTTGTATATACAAGACAAAAACTTTGGTTCTGTGGGCTCCAAAACAAAGGGTGGAATGGACGAGTAGAGAGGTCTTAAGAGAAAAAAATCTGCCTGACTGGTATTCCACCAAATTCTACACTGACACTTAGAAAACTTGTCAATCTTCATTTTCACAAATAACTCCTATTCTATGAGGACAGTACCTCCCCAGAAACCTAAGACAAGGTTAGGCCCCGAGACAAGCGAGCATGGAATCATTTTTACAGCATCTGAAGGATCCATGCGTCACATACTTACCATCAATAAGCTCCTCCTTCAGCTTTGTCAGTTCTTTTCTCATCTCATCTAAAATGTCCTGAAGTATCAAGAGAAACACCAGGAAACAAAACAAACAAAGATGAGGTGATGTCTAAGAAGTTTCTTGTTCAGATGAAAGTTTAAGAACATCACGAAATACAGTTCTTTCTGCATGTGTACCCAGAGAGCAGTCTTGCCTTTTGTGTGATAATCTCTTTCCTAGTGGATCTCACCAAGTGGGCCAGGCTAGTTGGCCAATGAGCCAAGGACACTACACACCAACATGCCCGGCTTGTTTACATGGGCTCCAGGGCCAAACTCAAAATCCTTATGCTCATTCATAATCGATCACTTTGCTGATTATCTCCCCAGGGTCCCTATACAGCTTTTGATTCCACAGTTGCAATTCTATTTCTTAGAAGAAGACTGGCCTCACTAAATTCTGTTTAAATACTTCTTTCCTTGCCCATCTTTGCTTATTCTGGCCTAGTAAGATATGAAATAGAAAGCCTAAAACTTCAACAGTCAGTGCTGTCATTCAGAGAAGTTTAATTCATGTAGCCATGAGGCCCAGTCCTCTGATGCTACCTGAAAGGTGATGCATATGGAAGTTTCAAGGAAGATGTCACTGGACAGTTAGTTCTTGGCAAATGTGCCACCACATTTAAAGAATGGCAATTTCTTAGGAATCACCATAACAGCGAAGTCCTATTTCAAGTAACTAATAGCAGGCACCAGCCACACATAGCTGCTGAGCTCAAGTTAGTCTGAAAGATGGACTGTAGGTGTAAACCACGCACCAAATTCCAGACTCAACACTGAGCATATATTCAACTTATTTTTTAAAATATTTAGATTAAATAAACTATTAAAATTATCCTTATTTGTTCATTTAAAAGAGATTCTTATTTTCCATGTGAGTATTGTGCTTGCATGTATATGTGTACCATGGACGTGCCTGGTGCCTGAACAAACCAAAAGAGGATGTCAGACCCCCTAAAACAGATGGTTGTAAGAGACCAGGCGGGTGCTGCGAAGCGGGCCTGGGTCCTCTGCAAGAGCAGCAAATGCTTTAACTACTCAGCCATCTCTCCAGCCTCAGCCATTCATATTTTTATGTGGCTACCACTGTGTGCGTATTTAAATGATGCGGTGTCTTTCATCAAGAATTGTAGATTCAAATTTAAAAGGACAATGAAAAGAGCCACAATTTTCACGGGTGAAAAATGAACCAGAAAAAAAATTGAGCTGAGCAACACTGGCTGACTATGGCCGCTGTGTAATTTGTCTAAGGCACTTTAACTGTGTGAGCTTTTGGAGTACTCCCGGGACCCACGCGGAAGGCCCCACGCCCTGTTGGGGAAGCAAGGTTAAAGGGAGCTACCCTGAGCGCCCACCTGCTTCAGCCTGTCATAGTCAAGGCCTTCCGTCTGGACTCCATTGGCACTGGGCTGGGACGAAGGTGTGGATTTGGGTCTGTACAAAAGAAATTTTCAAGACAGATAAATTATATCTACAACATTTAGTGAGTTCTTAAGTAACTCTAAATTTGCCACCCCAACGCCAGATTTAAATTTATTTCTTAAGCACATTTTTTGTTAAGTTGTCACAATTGTAGGCCTGATTAGAACAGGCAGCAGAAAATGTCTTTTAATTTCTCAACCTATTTAAAAAGTAGACAGGGTGACAATTTGGTGAAACTCCTTTAAGAGAGTAGAAGGAAGCACTCCCTGGGACAAGGTAACACATGGCTTGCTGACCATGGATATGACAGAGTGACCAGCTGAAGTTCCCAAGGCCCAGATAATGCAGTCATGTGCAGTGCTCTTGAAATTTTGTATCACGTATTAAATATCAGGCAAATCAATAAAGGAAAAGCTCTACTGTCTGGAATATTTTATTTTAACACAGATCAATTTATAAGTCCGAGCCTCAGTTTGTAGAAACAAATAATTTAGTAAGCCTAATTTCTTTCCCTATTTGCTTCCGTTTTAAGCATTAAAGCAAAAATGATGCTGAAAACTGACTATTGCGTTAGAGGCATACTCTCATATCCAGTTGACTCTATTTTCTATAGGTCTATAAATTTACTTTGCTTCATAGAGGAAGAAGAAAATAGAAAAAAAATAAAAACAAAAAATGGAACATACTAACGCAGAAGCTGCCTGTCAATTACAATTGCCCTTTTAATAGTTTAGCTTTTCTTAAAATTTTTACACAGTAAAGTAAGTGTTAGGGATTAGGTATATTTTGTAAGTTCCAACACCAAATAAATCAGTCATGGCTTCCTGTCCAATCCTGGAAATAAAGGAGATTCTCAGTAGGGAATCTGGAGCTTCAGCCCTTCAGTCCTTCACTTTCGGGTTTAGAACAGTAACCATTCTATAAGCCATCAGTCAATCATGTGTTTTAATTTTGCATAGCACCAATGTTAGAAATCTATCTGAATCAAGATCCAATATGTGTAACTTGCTATACAGCTATATTTCATAACTGATGTAAGATATAACACTCCAAACCCAAAGGCACTGTTCATGAAGATGAAATACTTAATTTACTTTAATATCAAGACATATTACTGCTTAAAAAGCTGATTATGAAACAAGAACAAGCCAACCAATTTTAACTCACTGGGTATCTACTTATATAGTAACTTTCAGAAACTTCATTCAGTAAGTCCTAAGGATTTATATAAAGAACTGCCTCTCCCATGAGGATGCACCTTTCTTTGCTGAGGTACCTACTTAATTCCACTCATTTAAGATCTAAAACCCACGGAAGGCAAAAAACCCAGTGTTGTGTGTAGAGTTAGGTACAGTAAATATTTTTGAGGGTTTGGCACACTGAATTTTATATACCCAGTTATTTATTTCTCCTCTCCAGAATCAAATAATTAATAATCTGCTTTTATTTTTCCCATTTGAGTAGATCAATTAGTTATTTTTTTCCTAAGATATATAATGAATATTTCTGACATCCAAACAAACAGGTACAATCTACTACTTAAAGGAGAAATATGCTATCTTATATAAACATCTGTGTTTATAAAACAATTTAAAATGTTAATTAATACACAATTGTGCAAACATGCAACTGTAAAAAAATTTAATTCATGCTAACATGCAATCCATCACCACCACCACCACCATGAGAATTAACTCAAGGGGGGAACTTTTCATACTGAAGGAAAGAAGTAATCACCACTTTTTTTTTTTTCTTTTTTTTTTTAAGAAACATTATTCCAGCACTAGGTATGGGTAGCAGTGCGGTGACTTGGAAGACTTTGTTGTAAGGTACTGTTTTTCTTTCTAGGTTCCAGCAGATTTTCCTAAAAAAACCCTTTTGTTCAGAACAATTAGCCTACCTCAAAGAAACAAATGAAAAAGGCTGGATATGAACATTTATGGAAAATTAACTAGTCGACAAAATAAGTCTGCCAAATATTTTGATTGCCAGAGGCATGAAGTAATTTTAGCAAGTGAGAATTTGAACAGCGCCCAGTTACAGAACTACTTACTGACACAGGCATCTTCTCTGTGCACTACTTAATTCGTGTTTCCAGTAGATGAGCATAAAAAACGGGCACTGCCTGTGTGCATTAAAAATGGATATGTGCAACAATGTATTTTTTCTCTTTCTCTTTTTTTCGAAGACAGGATCTCTCCATGTAGCCCTGGATGTTCTGGAACTCTCTTGTGTAGATAGGCTGGCCTCAAACCCACAGAGAGATCCTCCTGCTTCTGCCTCCAGAGTGCTGTGATTAAAGGTATATACCACTGTGCCTGGCATAAACCAACATATTTCTAAAAAAATTCAAATATTTCAGTGATTGTTTATGTACTCATTTATTTGAGACAAGGTCTCATTATGTAGTCCATGATATTCTTAACTCATAAAGCTGCTTCAGTATTTTGAGTGCTGAGAGCATAGGCATTTCTACTATGCCCCTTCGTTAGGTCTATTACTTTTAGCTTAAGGGTTTTCAATATAACTAATAATAAAAACATATGGGTTTATCAGATGTTTAAATACATGTGTTTTTCTTAACTTTAGGAGACCATTACTTAGATATCTGCCTATAAAAAAACTATACCACAATATTTAACTTCTTATTCTATCAAATTAATTCTACAAATTGCTGAAAAGCATGTGCAGATTCTTAAAATTTTGTCTTTTTTTTTTTTTTTTTTTTCCAAAATAAGAAATGGATGATTGATACTGTCCCCTTCCTTCCTAGGGGAGGTGGAGGGCTATGCTTAAGACTGAACCTAGAGCCTTAAATGTGCTAAGTACAGTCTTCTTGGGACATTAAGTAGCAAATTTCACTACATCAAGGGCACAGACTGTATTCTCAGCAGCTTCGTCTATGGCTACAATACCTGTGTTCTAGCAAAACTAGCACAGGACCTTTGACTGCATTTTTAAAAGCCTTGTCACATAACCACAAAGAGAATCTTAGAGGAAAACGCCAAAGCTACCAACTAGACGATGTAAGATGATTCGACTTCTTATTCTAGCACTTCTGATGTTTATCATTTTTATTTATCTGAATCCAACTATCAAACAATAACAGAGTTCTACTTTATGTGTTCAAACTACAGCTAAAATAAAAGAAATCTCAATCTTCCTAAATGTCTCCCTTGTGGTGATTACCAATCCAGGTAGAAAAAGCTCAGCCCTATCCTGGACATGTTATTGAAAAGTCTGAAATCACAAAGTCACAGCAGGATGATACCTGTGTAATGAATCATAGGACCTGTTGTCAAAAACAATCTGATTTTTCCTTGGAGAATCCCGTCTATGAAGGGGAAAAACCATTTAAAGGGTATACAGTAGAACTTCAAAAAATAATTCCCATGATGCTACTGATTTACTTTTTAGTCACAGCAAGCAAAACAAAAATAAAAGGTGTTAATTATCCTTAAAATATCTGTTTTATAAAATTTAAAAGGGTATTTTGAAACTAATTTACACAAGGACACAATGGCTATTTTTGTAGGCTGCAGCTACTTCTTTAAAGATCAAAACACAAGCAAAGACATTCTGATTTTGTGAATATCAAAGCAACAAACAAAAAAGTCTCTGTAGCTTGATTTGTATAAAACTAACTATTCACAGGCATGTAAAGAACATCTTCTCCTATTATGAAAACAAAACCAGTAGATTACCAATGAGAGCCACAGGAACATTCCAATGTTCTATGCCACTCATCTTAAGGCACTTTACCACAGAAGATTCACGGACACTATTTCTTCTTTCTTTGTTTCTGTAGACAGGATTTCATGTAGGCAAGGCTGGCTTCAAATTTAGTAAGTAGATGAAAATAACCTTGACCTTTTCTCTGGTCTCACCCTCAACCCCTGTACCTCAGTACTGGGACTGTATGAACCCTGCCCAGTTCATGCCAAGCTGGGCATTGAACTCAGGGCTTTATGCATATTAGGTAAACGGTCTACCAACTGAGCCATACCCCCAACCTGCAGATTATCTTTCCTTTCCGTTTCTGTGGTGTGTGTGCTTGCACACATATATATGTGGAGGCCAGAGGTTGATGACAGGTGTTGTTCTCAACTGCTCTTTCCACCTTTTTTTTTGAGAAAGGGTTTATCAACTAGCTGGTCAGCAAGCCTATCTTATCTAACTTGACTATGACTAGAAACGTTGGTTTTTAATATTTTGGGCTATTTTATTATTTATCAATTGATCTAATTTTTTGAGACAGGCTCTCACCATGTAGTCTAGGTTGGCCTCAAGCTCACAGAGATCTGCTTGCCTCTGCCTCGTGAATGCTGTAAATAAAAAGTGTGCACCGCCACACCTAGATTATTTTTTAAATTGTATGCAAGTGGGTATTTTGCCTGCATGTAAGTCTGTATGCAGTGCCTTTACAGGCCAGAAAACAGCACTGAATCTCAAGAATGGAGTTAAAGATGGTTGTTAGCTGTCACATGGGTGCTAGGAATTGAACCCGCGTCTGCAAGAACAACCACCACTAACATTTCTACATTTCTCCAGCCCACAATTAGAAGTTTTGACTGAGATACAGAAAATTTGTACTTGATTTGTGCTCTCTTGTATTCTATACAATATCTGTCTGATTTTCAATATAAATCATAAAGGTTTCCTCTAAAATTCTATTTTTAAAACTATATAGGGACCAGTGGGGCATTATTGTTCAATACTATATAAAATTTGTTATTGTTAAATGTTAAATTACTCTGAGGCAACAATTCTACTATGGTTATATTGGAGCTGTCCTGGGTTCTTTGGAAAATTGTCAAAGTATTTAGGGTGAAATACCATTTACTTGCAAGTTTCTTTAAAACTATTAAGAGAAAAAATATAGCTACAAAGCTGTAAGACATATGACAACTTGTTAAGTTTGGATGATAGTTGTATTTTAGTATTTGCTGCATTGTTTTTCCTTTTAATTTGAATTTTTCAAAAAAAATACACAAGTTAAAAGGGATGAAACTATCCTAAAATATCAATCTGATTAATAAATACATTGGTAGAATTTATCACATAATCAGGAATAGCAAAAATATGAGTTCTGTGGTTATTCAATATATGGATTATAGATGCTTTTGTATAATTCAAAATTTTCTACAATAAACGTATTAACTTTTTAGACAAATACATAACATAAAACTTAGAAAAGAAAATCAATACCTGGAGATGACAGGTGACTTACTGCCATTCATTGTGTTCGTTCTTTCCCAAGGTTTTCTGGTTGGTTCTTCAAAAATAAGAAATAAGTGTTATTAAACACATCTCAGATCCTTCCAGAATCATTACAAAACAAGATATTAAGGTACCATCATTCTATGTACATAGTTGTAATACAAATTAAAAAAAATTCTAAACAGTAAAGACTAAATTGTTATGATTTTAGAACTTAAAGCAGAAATTTAGGAAATAGAGGGAGGCAGAACAGCAGAACTCTATGAGTTCAGGCCAGCCTGGTCTTCATAGTAAGTTCCAGGCAGCCAAGACTGCAAATTGAGACCTTGTCTTAAAAAACAAAACAAAAAACATCAAAACAAAGTCATGCCTTTAAGCCCAGCACTCAGGAAGCAGACGCAGGCAGATCTTTGAGTTAGAGGCCAGCCTGGTCTATACAGCCAAGGCTACATAGAGAAAACTTGTCTTGAAAAACCAAAAACTAAACTAAACCAAACATCCAAGCAACAAAAACAACAACCCCAAAAAAAGTGAAAAAATTACTGTTTTGTTAAAAAACCCTTATATTATAAAATACAAATATTTTAGTTTCTATAACCCAAATGATAATTGTAATAAGCACGATAAAGAGAGCATGCCTTTAACTGTGATTTTCTAATTTGGTTCACTCACTGACACTGTTATTGACCTGACTAGGTAACTTGAGAAGATCAAAGGTGAAACTTTTCATAGAGAAAAGCATTTGAGTCACATTCAAATCAAGTCTATACACATTCATGACCTCACTGTATAGTCTTATATGAGAAACTGTTTCATCTTCTAACGTCTCCCCTGGAGTGGCTTCTGCACATCTTTACTCAGGAGGAGGCTTCTAGTCTCCTCAAAACGTATGCAAAACTAAATTTAAACTCCCTTGAAGCCCTGCACTGCTGTTGCCAAGCATCTAAAGGAAGAACCTTCAAGTTGCTACTGATCTTCCTTTACTTCATCATCACTTAGTTCTGCCTTTTGAACAGGAATAGCTAAGGCATTCTGTCAGTGAACACATAAATGGCAGGTTCCAGAGCTAGCAAAGGAACATCAAAAAAAACCAGAGGGAGGCCAAGATGGACTGAATAAAAATACATCCAGCACATTAATTCAAGTAATAGAGGGAGGCATACCAGGAAGAGATGGGGAGAAGATGCAGGCGGAAGGATGAAAGTCAGTCAAAAGTTGGTAGATGCAGTACAAACTACCTTAATAGGGAGACGCACCTATTATTTTTCCCCCCTTTGAGACACAATCTCACACTGAAGTTCAAGGTAGCCTGGTCTCCAACTGTGGCAGCCCTCCTACCTCAGTCTCCCAAATGCTGGTACTGCAGGTAAGAGTAATCTCACCCACTCACCCTGTTAATCATAAAGGGCCTGGCTGTGAGGAAGAGTTGTTCAGCCCTGTGGGAGCAGAGGAAAGGGTGTCTTTTTCTCTGAGGAGCACAGGCGTACTGCAGGACAAGTGTGGATGGAGGCTGGCCTACCCGTCAGCAGTGTCAAAACACACTGGATCTCAGTCTTCCCCAGCTCCACATTACAAGGCTGAGTCTTCCCAAATAGTTTCAGCTGACTTATGTGTCAATGAGATTACTTCTAAGAAAAAGCCTAAATTTACTACTGATCTTTTCCATCACACTCTCTTAATATTTGTTTCAAACTCATTTTCCCAAGAATCCTCAAAAATAAATTCTAGACAGGTAAGTCAACTTATTTCTTAGTTTCTTCTTATTCAATTTTATTTAACAACATGCTCATGACAGTAACTTCCTAGTTTCAGCCAAGCTAAACACTCTACAACGCATAATGTAACACCATTTTCTCCACAGATAGCATAGGTGACTCGACAGGTTATTCCCAGCCTGACACAGTAGTATTTAACATCTCATGAGTTTTTGTGCTTAAGAGGTTTAATCTTTCACTCACCTTTGGCTCATTAAGTGTTTTATGAAAAGTCAATTTTCAGAATCGAATGAAACAAATGAAAAAGAAGTTCCAAACTGTTCTGAACCAAGTCCTCATTTTATACATGTGGATTACAAACTACTTAATTTATTTAGATAATGTACCAACCCCCATTTAAAGAAAAACCAAGGTGGACTGTGGAAAAATAGTTTATGAAGTCACTTTTTTTTTTTTTTGAGACAGGGTTTCTCTGTGTAGCCTTGGCTGTCCTGGACTCACTTTGCAGACCAGGCTGGCCTCGAACTCACAGTGATCTGTGCCTCTGCCTCCCTGAGTGCTGGGACTAAGGATGTGTGCCACCACACCCAACTTAAAGAGCCCATAAGGTTTCTTTTACTTTCCTTGCAGTGCTGGAACAGAACGCAGGCCTCCTGCACGCTGGGCAAGTGCGCTACTACTCAGCCAAACCCCAGCCCTATGAATGTCAGGGGCAGGAGTAAGTCCATTCAATGGCCAACTTCAAAAAGATTTTTGTGTGTGTGTGTAAGAAAATGAGCTGGAGAGGAAAACCTACTACTGTAATTCTACTAAGCCAATATAATTTCTAATTATATACTACTTATCTTTATATCTATACATAAATATAGCTCACTTTTTTTTCAACAGATGAAGACTATCGTTAAGATCCACAACTGTGCAGGGAGTAAGTGACTGACTGTGTGCCAATCCCACTTAGTACATCTGCAATTTCAGGAAAATCACAGATGAGAGGGTGGGAAGTTTCTAAGAGCCAGAGGACCAGGCCTGATGCTAGAGAGCCATCCTCTAGACACGACAGGGAAGCTGGACTCATGAAATCCCAGTATGGTTGCTTGAACAAGACCAGTACAGTGACAATACCAGATGACACGTTAACACAGACATGGCAAATTCCATGTAGCTCAACCCCTGGACAAAGCAGTCAATGGCTGCACAGAAAGGGAGGTTAGTTTCCTTAATTGAGAAGGTTTTGAAATAATGCTACCCGACATGCGCATTCCATTTTCTGCTTCTAAGAACTGTGTGAAATAGATTCCTGTAGCGAATAGCAAGTCCATAAAACAAAGAACACACACACATTATTATAGTATTTGCCAAGACAGCATGAACAAAAATGTTCGATTTTAATAGATTTCACAGTATCAGGTTGAAAAGCATTAATTTCTGAGATCACAAAAGGCAGAAAAAGGTCAGTGGCTTCAAATATAAACAAAACACTTTTAATATTTCAGTGAGCAAGCAATCACTTGTCCAAATACAGGAAAATGAACTTTTTAATTGGAAAGTATTAGCATTTGGGGGAAGGTTTCTCCTGAACTTACCAGGTGTACTTGTTGATGAGGCCTTAGAAGTTATAGGCTCTGAATCTTCCTAAATATAAAGAAATAGTCACATTAACACCACATCCACCAGAAACTACGACTCTCTTGCAGGTAGGTTTACAAGTTCCCTTCCCATGTTCTTCCTGTCACTCTCCTCCTCCACCATCTCATCTTTATTACATTCTGGCTTATACAGTTCCCTTCTCCTATCCTCCATTTGGTCTTCTCCCTACTGCCTTTCCAAAGCTCTTTCTGTGGTAAGTTCTGAGAACCTGTACTAGTCAAAAAACTAGGAGCCTGATATGAGACAGAACAAAGGACTGTTAGTGAAAAGAGAGGCCAGATGGCACAGGGAGAGCCACTCCAAGCTCTGCTGAATGACAACATAGCAAACAGGTAAGAGAGGTTTGCCCAGCTCAAATGTGGAGCAGGACATGAAGGGTATACTCCTAAGGGGCATGGCTAATGAACACGGGGTCATACGGATGATATAGAAACTGTTGATATAATCCTTTAACCTTCAATAGCATGAAGAAATTGAGAAGCCCAACAGATTAGAAAACTTCTAAGAATTCATTCACTCATTTAAAGATGAATATAAGAACAGATTAACTTTATAGGCTTGAACTTCAGTACGTTCTTCAGAACTCCCCATATTCAACTCAAGTCACTAAGAATGAGATTATAATAGTATAAATAACACTCAAGCCATTTTCATACTTGTATAGTTAGAAATTATAGTAATAGTAAATAGCAATAGTAAACATAAGATCAAACATTAAGTTCAGATTAAGTAATCTTTATATGAGTTTCTGAATAAGTGGGCTTGAGTTCCACTCTAAATGTAAGAGATTTTATAGTCACTTACACTTCTGTCTTCTTTTTGCTCTGTTTCTATTGTTGACCCCTTTTCGGCAATTCTTCTCCTGGAAAGGCAAATTGGTTAAAAAATTTTATATCACCTACCTATTATCAAAATCTTCCTGATTCTAGACCTACCCATTACAATAAAATTTCTCACCTCCTGGCCAGCAGGGCACTCATTTCTTCCATTAAGCCGCTACCACCTAGAGGAAGGGGTCCATTCCCACGACCAGCATCTGCTTTGGATGAGGCCAAGTTCACACCCACAGCACTCCCTCCAGCTGGGTAAGAGCTATCCTCCACCTTAGTGAGAGCATACACATAATAATTTCCTGTGTAGATAATCATGTTTACTATCATACTCAAAAAAGAAGAACACATTATTGATTTCAAAAGAAGCACTTTTTTAAATTTGAAGAACCAATAAAGTGAATAACATGGACTTTAAATATTGGTGAGAATTCTATCAAAGTTAAGATCACCAATAATGGCTGAAATAATATTGTCTCTCCACAGTCCTGGTGATATTTTCCCCCTCATCTCAAATATATAATCTGCATCCATACTGAGAGGGAAATGCAATAAACCAAACTGAAATATAACTTTTCAAAACAACTGTCAGTGTGTTAAAAGGACAGAGGAACTGTCAGATTAAAATGAGAGACATTACAACTAAATTTAAATAAGAAAAAATTATGCCACAAAAATCACTAGCTACTCTCCTCCAAACTTACACTGATGTAGAAAACTAAGAGCATAGTGTTTCTGACTTAATCTCAAATTATTCAGATTAAAAACTGTGTGTAGTAAAAGAGACATATGCAACAAAACAAAACCAAAAGGCAAATATTAGTCAAATGTTAACTAGTAAATCTAGAGATGACAGAGCCATAAAAAACTCTTTACACTATAGCCCTAAACCTTTTCTAAAATTTTAAATTGTGTTGGTTTTTAATCAAAAGAGTTAAAATCGGGGTTTATATCAGTAATATACAATAATTTCACTATTTTAGACATTTAGAAACAAGAAGACATACTTTTAAAAGTTCAGTAATTTAGTAATTTACCCGAGACACTTTCCTAAGTTTTGCTCCCGCAATTGCAGCTGCAAGTCCAGTTAAAGGGCGATTGTCTTCTGACATGGATCCAGAGAAAAGTCCAGATGCAGGGAGGGGAGGGGCAGGAGGTGGTGGAGGAGGGGGAGGAACTTGATTAGGAAGAGGAGGTGGTGGAGGGGGTGGTGGAGGCCCAGTGGATGGCAGTGGAGGTGGTGGAGGGGGTCCAGGGGGAGGAGGAAGTGCTGAGGCATGGGCAGGGCCTGATGGGAGGGGGGGTGGTGGTGGAGGGGCAGGTGGTCCCAAGACAAGGCCTGAGAGAAAGAAAAGTTGACAAAGGTGATCAACAACAGAGCTAAATCGTTGTATTTTACATGTACAGATATATATAGAATGCCATCCTAAAGTAACTGACTCAGACACCGCACTTAATTTATCATAACTTAATACATAGTTAAGTTTTTTATTTTTATATTAATTAGTTTACTTACTTTGTATCCCAGCTGTAGTCTCCTCCCCTCCTCCCCCATAGAAAGTTTTTAACAAAAGATACTCAAATTGAAAGCTGAAGTGCATATACAACCATTCAATATTATATCTCATGTGATAAAACTAATGAGATCCTCCCATACCCAGGGATTTGAAGACAAATGCTTGTATGGTTTTAGAAAAGCATGTAATGTTTTATACAAGCACACACACAATGGCAGTTAGAACTGCCTGAGATAACAGACCCAAGATAATCCATGCAAAACCTTAGGTGCTGAGATAATATACTTGACTATGATGACAAAGTATTTGGTGACAGACAAGATGGAAACTGCAGAGAAGCCGATCTCAGCTTTTACTATCTTATAAAATGATTCTACAGGCAGCCTGAGTTAAGAATCACAAAAGAAATAAAATAAACTAATATCAGGTAAAACAGCAACATAAATGAGAATTATAAGTTGTTTTGGCCCTCATGCTGGGGTATACAGGAAGCATTTAAATCTTGTAAAAAAGAAAAAACCCACAAAGAGTAAAGAGTTTACTTAAAATCAAAATACCAAATTAATAAGTGTTTACTGAAGGCTTAAAGGGCCAATTTTTGCTTTTGTACAGCCAGAGTAAGTTTGCACACCAGGTAGCAGCTGTCACTTCTGAGGCTTGAACAGTCAGAAATGAAGGGCTAAAGGTGAGCTGTCCAACCCTGAGCATTAAGTTCTGCCAGGCTGCTGGGCTCTTGTTCAGATGTCAATCACAGAGGTATGAAACGACACATGCTAGAATTCGATTCACCTTTTATAAAAATCTGATAAGACATTATCAAAAATTTATTTTTAACAAAAGGTATGATTAAATCTGGATTGTAACCCTGTTGCTATAATTTTCAGCACCCTCTCTACATCTTGTAATAAAAACAGGGTTACTTTGTATCCTCTTATTACAGAACCAGGTACAGCTTTACGTGCATAGGCTACACTTCAGGTTGATGGCTCCTGCCCTGCTGCCATGCAACAGGGCTTGGGTTTGGAAAGAACATTCAAGGATTTTGTTTGCCCTTTATGCCACTACTTGCATAGAATCCTCTGGGGTCATTCATCAGGCCTGTGAACACCCTACCTTTTGCAAAGAGCCTAAGAGGCTGCCCATCCTCAAAGTCTAATACAGAGAGCTCAATACAGGACAGGCCAAAGTGAAAAAGTGGTCAGAGAACTGAAGTGCTCCAGGGCAAACTGTGGGATGATTTATTAAACGGATCTCTAGGCCTCAGGAAAGTATGTAGATCTCATAGAAGATCTATGAGCAGAGACGATGAGCCAGTCAAGTTTTCCCAGTGAAGTTCAAAGTAATGTATTAGTACTGGGGTACCTAAATATCAGAACATACCTTTTATAATACTTAGTGCAAAAGATCTAAAAACTTAAGTTTAATATGGACATCTCCTGTATTAAATCACTATATACAATTAAAGCCCAGGATTTAAAAAAAAAAATCCTTCATTTTAATTTTTTAAATAAAAACCCCCGCAGTACTTGGGCACAGTCATGCTCTGTTACTAAAACCACCCGATCCAATCTTGGCAGTCAAAGCTGTTGCTATGCACTACTCTGAAGTGACTGGTAGTCAGCAGCAGTAGTGAAGCCTTACCCTGTGGGGTTGGCGTCTCGGCCGGCTGAGAGGCTGCCTGCAAGCCTGGCTCGGAAGCAGAGGAGTCTCCCAGCTCAGGATTTAGAGGGGTCTCCACAGAGGCAGGGGCAGCTGCAGAGGGAGAAGGGAGAACACTGGGCTTGGATGAGGGAGTTGAGGCAAGAGGGGTGCCTGGAGGAGGAGAAGCCTGTGATCCACAGTGTGAGAGTGAGGCGAGGGGAGGCAGCGGTGGAGGTGGTGGTGGTGGCGGCGGTGGTGGAGGTGGCGGCGGCGGTGGCGGAGGTGGCGCTGCTGGCCCTGAGGTAGGCGGTGGAGACACTGGGTATGTTACAGAGTCCAGCAACCCATTGGGTGCTGTCGGCGACGGAGGCATTTGGGGCACAGGAGAGGAGACACAAACGGGAAGGACCGGCCTTGGGCCAGTAGCTTTGCCAGGGGGGCTACTAATCATTATCGGAGGAGATGGAGGGAGGGGCGAGAAATTGGAAGTAGGCCAGGCACAGGACTTCGCAGCTGGAGGCTGAGAAGAGGGTGTGTTCACAGGAGAAGAAGGTCGAGAGTTTTTGTTCAGAGGACGAGGAACTGTGGCGTAATGGGGAAGAACAGGGTGGAAGGCTGAACCTAGAGATGTTGCAAAACGTGTCGCTGAGTGTCGCAGTGGTGGTGTAGGGGGTGTGGAAGTAGGTGGCAAAGCGGTCACTACAGCGTAATCAGGAGTGGCGTCTGACACCGGAGCTGAGATGACTTTAGCATATGATGGAGGAGGTGCTGAAGGAGGCTGGCAACTGGAATACTCAGGAAGTGGAGCACTATACAGGGAGCTGTCTGAAGATGGAGCTGGACATAAGGTGGAAAGCAGCGGCAAAAGACAGGATAAAAAAGGAGAGAGAAAAAGGGAGCTAGTGAAGCCACAAAACCAGCAATCAGACAAAATGTATAAATGCAGATTACAGTTAGTACCAGAGAATTAGGCAAGTAACTGTTCCACTTGAGGAAATTTAACTTGCAAGCATACTTTGAAACCCAAAAGAGAATGAAGTTCTTTTAAATGTGCGGATTAATAATCTATCCTCCATAGGAAAAGGATAGTAAATCTTAAATTTTATTAGGTGATCCACTAAAACAGCATCAAAATTATTATAAACAGCAAAATAAACCCAGCAAACTGTTTACTAGAACGCTCAACTCAGTCAGCCATTACTCTGGACGATTAGGCAGTTAAAAACAATGAATTAATCAACTGACCAGTAAAAAACCTACACTGGCTTCTGATGTAACTCAAGAATATAATTATTTGATAAATATTAAACACCTATGATATGATATTAAACATATCATAAACCTCTATGACACTTGATAAATTCCAAATTGTGATTTTTCACAACACCAGAAAATGTTTAAATAACCAGTTATTTTTAAGAGAATATTTTCATCCATTTTATTTTTTTCTACAGAAGACTAACTATAACCAACCTAACTTCTTGCTGTACTTAGCATAATACATACAGTATGTGATAATTTTAAGCACTACACAAGGGAAATATTTTCCAAGATCATTATAAAAAAATTCTTTGCATGAAAACACATTCCCACTTTATAGCTGAATTTTAGGGCGACAAGAAGAATTAAAATGACTGACTAAAAATTCCCGAGAGCTTTCTTTTAGTTTCTAAGCAATAAAAGGACACTGAAGCAATAACTGCTGAGTATTTATCCTAACTCCAAGCTGTACTGCGTATTCCCAAGCACTGCGCAAGTGAACCATCGCTATTCCCGACAGCACAAGGCCTTGCCCAGTTCAGAGGTGGGAGGCGGAAGCCTGCAGACTCCTTACCAGCATTAGACACTCTGCGTTCTCTCTCCCACTCCACTTGCTCCCGCTCCAGCTGCTCCAGGCGCTCCCGCTCTCGGTCTTGCCTCTCTCTCTCCAGGCGCTCCAGCCGCTCCCTCTCCTGCCGCTGCCGCTCCAGCTGCTCTTGTTCCAGGCGCTCCCGCTCTAGCCTCTCTCTCTCTAGTCGGTCTCTCTCCAACCTTTCTCTGTCCATTCTTTCTCTCTCCAGCCTTTCCCTCTCCAGCTCCTTCTGCCGCTGCTGTTCTTGCAGTTGCCTAAAATCAAACATTGGATGCATGTATGGCCCCATCGCTAACAGGAATGGGTGTTCACCTGACTTCTGATTTAAATAAACGTACTACCCTTGGTTACTACTTTCCCATGAAGGAAGGCTTCCTTGCAGACACCTTTTTTTTTTTTTTTTAATACCAATGAAACCAAGCTTTAACACGGGCTCAATCAAAACAGTTTTTGAGAATAGAGAGTTGCAAATAAACCTACCACTTTGTTGACCAAGTCATTATATTAATCAGATGATGAAATAATTAATGTAACATTTTAACTGCACGAGTTATAATTTCAGAAAACACCATGATCATAGCTCACTTAAAGACCTTACCTCTAACAGTGCTGTTTGGGATTACATGAACTGAACTGAAAATAAAGCAAGCTAGGTAGGAAATAAACTATCAGTCACTAAAATTTTATAGATGTTATCTATAGGCAGCTATAGTTAACATCTAGACTTTAATTCCTATGAGCATGTCAACACCACTGCTTAGCTCTGGAGTTTTAGCAGGCTCCAGTGTAAGATATGATTTACCCTAATATTATTATTAGGGTAAACATTTATCTTCACCCTTGAAACCCCTTCCAATTGCTTCTATAGGACCACATGTGCTAGGAGACAGCCACATAATTCTTAAGATTCTTAATATATGGTTATATATTATTTTAGGAAATATATCTAAAAAGCAGCTATTCTCTCCTTATACATATTTAATAGCATTTAGCTAGTATTAAATAAAATACAGTAAAAGATCTTTAAAATGTATAGTACTCCATAAATTTAGACTGTGATATTAATGATCATTCAGAAAAAAATTTGAATTGGAATGTGATAAGAGGTAACGAGAGCCCCATGAAAGAATAAGTATGCTTCCTTTTATTCCTCCCAGAATTATCAACAATCCAGTAAAATACTGGGGGAAACAACTTATCCTGTCTCCTAAGTTGGCTATCATAATAAAGGAAAAAGCCCATCCTTCAAATAAACTGTTTACTTATCTCAGTCAAAACACAGCTTTTCTCTACACAATGCCCCAATACAGATCAATGGCTATTAGGAGTCATCCTAATAGTACATCATTGCAGTACTTCTCTTGAGTAGTTTAGAAATTTACTTTTAATTAAATCAGACTTCCAGGGTACATTTATTATGCTATGTGATAACTCACAAGCTACCACAATTTTGAGAAAGAGCCATTTCTGTGGATATGCTGGCAAGAGATTAGATACATTGGGCTGGGGAAATGGCTCAGAGGTTAAGAGCAGAGGCTGGTGTTACAGAGGTCCTGAATTCAATTCCCAGCACCACATGGTGGCTCAAAACCATCTACAACAAGATCTAGTGCCCTCTTCTGGCATGCTGGTGTACATGCAGACACAATATTAAATAATTAATTAATAAACCTTTAAAAAAGGAAATTAGATACATTAATTTTTTTAATTTAAATTAAAAAAAAAACTAGACAGAAAAGATCCCCTTAACAATAATGTGCATGTGATGAAAACACACAACTGAGGTTTGTATCAGAATTTTAAGTCCTTTGGTGGCAGGGATACAGCTCAGTGGGTGCTTGATGTGACAGTATGTGCCTGGTCTTACTGTAGCCGATGTCTCTGGGAGGCATGTTCTTTTCTGCGGGGTAGTGGGAGGGTGGATATGGGGGAGAGAGGAGGTGGGGAGGAGAGACTGAGAAGAGAGGGAGGGGAAACTGCAGTTGGAACATAATTTATGGGAGTAGGAAAAAAAGGGGGGGGGGGGGTACTGGCCAGTCTTCAGAGGACCTGGGTTTGATTACCAGAACCTACAGAGTGGTTCACAGTAGTCTGTAACTCCAGTTCCAGAAGATCCAACACCCACTTCTGGCCTTCAGGTAAAACACTCACACACATGAAAAATATTTTTTAAAAGAAAATGGACCAGTACTAATTGGAAAAGAAATTAATTTTTATACATTTTGTGCTTTCGTATCTCTTCATTCATCTCAATATATATAAATAATGTATCAAAATAATATATATAAAAGCTTAAAACAAAACAAATATTAGCTTACTGTCTTAACATTTCCCCACTCATTTCCTATTTTAGTGGATTCTTGTGCCTTAACTTTATTTACCAATTGTCTAATGGCAAAAACCTCCTATAACCACTCTCAACACACACGCACACCCCCCGCCCCCCAGCCATAGGAAAATAGCTTGGCTAAATCAATATTCAGGGTTATAGCAACATTATATAAACCTGTCCACAGCTAAGCTACATGGTATTCTGATTGCATTTCACCCCATTCTAATTGCTGGGCATAAAAAAAAAAAAAAAAGCTGTTAATATCTGTTTCTCTGGGTAACTAATGCTTTTAACAATGAGAATAAGTAAATTTTGGTAGTCGTTATAGGTAAAATAGGAATAGGTGAGTCTGGACGCCGAATTGAAATAGTGACTTTATAACTAGAATGTATTGATTTCAGAAGATTGCTCCAAATGTCAAAATAATCTCAAAGGTGCCCAGTCAATGAAAGATAGAGTGTCTATTAAGGAAAAAAGCACAACGCCAAAGAATATTTCCAAAGAATATTGTTGACAGATAACTCAAGTATGCAGCTGATACATGTTCAAGAGACTGATGTTTGAAGAAAGTAATGAATACATTTAGCCAGCTCATTGAAAAGATGTCTATGTATATGTAACTGGAAAAAAAAAAACTGTCAAGCAGAAATTTCCTGACTTCCTACTTCAACTGAAAGGCTGACAAATCTGACTGTTTTAAGCTATAAAGAAGACATTCCCAAATCTTTTTAAGGACTCTTCAAAATTCTAAACCTTGCTTCCCTCAGGACCACCCTACCAGACTGCACACTGAGATGCACGAAGAGCTTCTTCCTGGAGGCTATCTACCTCTGGTGACTGTCTGCCCATTAGCAGAATCACCTCCGAACTTTACTAAACATGTCTGGATTCCGAGCCGAGGGAAAATTCCAATCCAATTCTTTCATTTAGATATACATTTTCAATAATTTGAATATTTCAGAGAAAACAATTGTGTAATTGTTTTCCAGAAACAAATATGAATAAATACTACTATGGTCATTAAAGTATTTTACACATATTAAGTAAAAACATAAAAGATATAGTTCTTTTCTATTACTGAAGTATTCTCCAAAAAGCAATCTCCAATGTAAACAGATGAAAAGAAAAAAAAAAAAAAAAAAAAAAAAAAAACTCCCCCAAGACAAAACTGGCCCACAATCAAATCAATAAGTACACACAAACATGCATTTTGTTTATTTTTACATAAATACAGTCTTGTGAAGCAAGTAAAAAAATATATAAATAGAATGTCAAGATACATTTTATTCATCTTTACCTAGAATGGCTTTTGGGTACATATTCAGAAATTTCAATTTCATAAATGTGGGAGAACCAACCAGGAAAAATGATTGCTAACTGAATATTCTCCTGAGTAATAATGACAGGCCAGAAAGTAAAAGTGTGTGTTTTTAAATTAACTTTCTAAGGACAGGGTCTTGCCTATGTAGTCCCAGCTGGTTCTGAATTCACATCACACAGACTCACTGGAATCCTCTATCCAATGTTGGGATTAAAGGTGTATACTGCCACTTCTGAGGGACACACATACTTTTTACTGGGCTTTGAAGGCCTTCCATCTATTAGTAACAATAGCAACAACAAAGATGGAACTTTCCCAAAACAAACAAACAAATAAAAAAGATATTTGAATTTTAATATCACAAAGCTCCTGAGACAAGAGCCAATACTTACACCAGAATCCGATCAACTCTTGGTCCATCCTGCCTCTGGAGGATAATGGGGGTGCTGTGCACTTTCATCACTCCAGTTCCTCAGTTCTGTGCTAGGATTCTTATTCCCCTTTTATAACTTTCAGGTAGTAGTATGATTTGCAAGCTATTTATAGATATTAACTAAATTATCTTCTATGTTGAGACGAACACAGGACTGACTCATGTTTCTTAGAATATATTTTCCCATCATAGCCAAGGGAGTCAAACATTAATAATATGAGTAGGAACTAGAAACTGATTTAATGAATGACAGACATACTAGCAGAAAACTATATAACGGTATAATAAAGATATTAGATCAACAAAGTTTAATATTTAAAATGTCAACCAGCTTCACAGTAATTAAAAAGTAAACTCAGAAAAACAATGCTTAGTTGAAAAGTCAAGTATTACAAGCCATCTTAGCAACACTCACCATTCTGATTTCTTCCCACAGAGCAATTAAGCTTCAATACTTATATTTATCTCATGTTTCTAAACAATAATTTCTTTAGAAATATTTATTCCCGACTTTTCAAATTTAGACGTTACTCTTTTCCTATTAGACAAATGATTTAATTCCTATGATCTGGGTGGTTAGCCCTAGGGACTGAACCTAGGGCCTCTATGGGCTCTATCCCTGAGCTATATTCTAGCCTCTGATTCCTCCCAATTTTTTCTTCTATGCCACTGTCCCTAGCTGAGAAGATATTTTAAATCGGGCTTCCTCACAGCACAGACTAATGTCAACAACAGGTAAGCACGAAAAGGAACAAATCTTGGAGATGTACAACTTACATCTCTAATGCCTTCCACATATGACCATTAAGCACTAGAAATGTGGTTATTTTGAACAGAAATATGTTTTAAGTACAAAATATATTCTATATTTTGATAAGAAAATTGAGATGAAAAATTTAAAAATTTTTTTTCTCCCCCCCCCCCCCGAAACAAGACTTTTCTGTAATAGCCTTGGCTATCCTGGACTTCCTTTGTAGACCAGGCCGGCCTTGAACTTGGAGAAATCGACCGGCCCTCTGCCACCCCAAGTGCTAGGATTACAGGCGTCCGTGGACCACCAAGCCTGGCTTATTTTTGTTTTTTCAAGACAGTATTTCCCTATGTAGCCCTGGCTGATCTGGAACCCACTCTGTAGACCAGGCCGGCCTTGAACTCACAGATCACCCACCCCTGCTTCCCAAGTGCTGGAATTAAAAGCTTGCACCACCACTGCCTGGCGGAAACTGTCTTTTTAAATAACTTTTTTTTTTTTTTTAAAAAAAACTTTATGTGTATAGATGGGTGTTTTGCCTGCATGTGTCTGTGCATCACATGTGTGCAGTGCCTGCAGGGGTCAGAAGTTATAGACAGTTTTCAGATGCCAAAGAATGACCATTGAGCTACCTTTCCAACCCCATGTAAACTGTCTTAATGATTTCATAGTTCATACTGAAATGGTAAGTACTGTGTGTGTATGTGTGTGTGTGTGTGTGTGTGTGTGTGTGTGCGCGTGTGTATCCAGCTAATTCAGAAAAATCCACCCCTAAATGAAGTTGAATTATATACTTGATTTTAGCTAAAAGGCAGACAAGGGATAAAAGAAGTTATAATTTCAAGTCTACCTCTAGACTGCACTGAAATGATGGAGACAATGCTGCTGACTTTGTTCAACCAACATTACTCATAAGCAAGATGATCTTATATTCTCCTACTAAAACTTTAAGATTAGAGCCTTAAAGGTTTATCTGGCTAACACTACGTTGACTTTCTAGTTAAATGGGTCATGTGAAAGCCATACTGGTCACAGTTATTTACTAAAAAAAAAAAAAAGATTTAATGGAACTTGGATGGCTCAGTTGATGAAGTGCTTGCTATGCAAGCAGTAGGGCTTCAGTTCATTCCTCAGCACACATGAAAAAAAAAAAAATCCAGGCATGGTACATGCCCATAATCCCAGCAATGGGGAGGAGGAACCTGCCAGGCATCCAGTCTAGCTTTATCAGCAAGCTCCAGGATCAGGGAGAGACTGTTTCAAACAATAATGCAGAAAGCAACTGAAGACACCTGAGATTGACCTCTAACGTCTACATGCATAGGTATATAGGTGCATATGAGACACACAGACACTGAAAAAGAATAAAGCTTACTGAAGGAAACAGACACTCGCATACCCTACGTCTATTTAATGCACTCTTAGATGTGTCACAGTATTCTTTTTACAGAAAAGCAGATAGAACGAAAGCCACAGTTTCAAAGAACTGAAGGGCACACTGTGCTGTCAGTGTCCTTTGGGTCTGCTGCAAAAGAGAAAAGCGCAAATGCGTGCATTTACCTTCTCTGGGTTTCCAGCTCTTCTTGGGACGGGCCATTTTGAACTTGAGCGGGTAGGTGTGAATTTTGTCTAGGCAATGTTGGACCTATAAGGGAGGAAAACATTACAGATGAATGTTACCATTCTACCAAGCTGGACGGAGGAAATTTAAGCCATGAGAACAACATAAAACCATCACATATTAAAAAAAATGCATCTTCCTTTTTTCTAGCAAAATAAAATATAAGCTTTACATAACACACAGCAAATGAAAGACTGCAACATAATACGGTCATCATCTCCAGAAGGCTTACTTGAAACAAATGGAAACACCAACAACAAAGGAAAAAATAAACATTTATACATGAAGAGCTTGAGTAAAACAAGTGTTCAGTGAGCATCTGAATAGGCACCTGAGCTTGACATTTTCTAAGACAATGAGACATTCTGTTTGGGGTAATTATTCATGAGGTGAAGAGGAAAAACTTAAATGGAAAAATCAGAATTTAAAAACTCACCTAAATAGAACACTGAAATGAAAAACAGGAGAGAGAGAGAGCATGAGAACCTCATTACTAGACTCAAGTATGCTAATGCATTTATCAAACTTGCCCACTTGAGCTGCCATTTTTGTTTAATCACATGGCATTTCCAATACTGATGAAACAAACATTTGCTAAACTCCCATATACTGTATTAACGTACTTCTCTGAATTTTTAATGTTATAGTTAATCTTAACTTTTAATCTGAGGTAAGAAAGTGGGGGTGGGGCTATGACCCTGTGTTTACACACTGAAGTGTCATGAGAAACTACTGACCATCCACTCCCAACATCCACATAAAATGCAGACCCATCTCTGGCATCTTAGACTGCCACTAAGTTATGGGAACTCTTATTGTCATGGGATATAAAAACTAAAGTGAGATTCACATTGCACCTAGCATAATATATGATGACTAATCTAAGGTTAAGCTAGAACAATCTTGAAATCTACCACAGTAAAAGCAAGAAAGCAGAGACAGTTTCCTCCCACTGTCTGAGAGGCGTATCTCTGACTTCTAGTATGCCCCCAAACCCCCTAGGAGGAATTCTCAGATCTTTGTAAAATACTACTATAAAAAAGTAATTAAATAAATGCTTGTGTACTAGAACATGTTACTGTGATCTGTGAGTGAAGACCATGAAAGCAGCTACTTTATCCTAGCGGAGCAGCCCCACAGCTGGAAGCAAAGATTCATCAGGATATAACACAGCATGGCCATCCCAGGCACAGAAAAACAGAAAAATGATCTCAACTTACCTACCTCTTTATATGACTTTAGATTAGTCATTTAATTTGCCCTCTAATGACAAATTAGATGACAACTGCAGCAATATATTTCATTAAATATAACTCTGCTACTTTGAGAACCAAAGAAAATATGTAATTAAAAAGAAAAACTAAAAACACATTTTAAAATTAAAGTCAAATACACACATAAATGTTTACATAAATGAAAATATAACTGTTGTCTAATAAACAGAATGCTTGGAAAATTAACACAATGAATTTTTGAAAAAAAACAGTTTTATTGGGCTATAAATTGTTTACTATTTTATAGAGAAAAATGCTTTTAGAAGAAGGTAGAGACACATGAGTTGGGAGGATAAATTTAATAACCTATAAAATTGGGGGAATATAAGTTACATATCTATATGTATATTTATTTTAAAACTATAAAATAAAAGCATTTGGCAAAACCAACTTAAAAGACCATGGCTTACTTACTTTTAAAATAGTGTCTGAGTGTTTAACTGAAAACTGTGGTAGTAAATAACGGAACAGCTGGAAGCTAGTGCTCTACTTGTCATGCTTAATCTAGAGAAGGCGTCATATCTCAGTGACACTATTAATGAATTAAATCTATGGTTTAGCTAAAATTTCTATAAATTCAAGTCAAAAAGGTTAAAATTTCAATCTAACCTTACTGATCTTTAATAAACAATTTTTGTTTGTTTTTAAAATAACCCTGGGCCCAGCATGGTGGTGCATGCCTATAATCTCAGCCTGTGAGAGGCAACCACACGAGAACTGAGTTCAGGGTATCTCTGGGCTATATATACTTACGTATTCTCAACAAGACAAACTACCAAAAGCACCTGAGATAAGTCCTGATATGACACATAAAACAAACTGAACAGGGAAACTCACTATAGTTTATTCCTGCCACACGGAAAGACAAGAAAAACTTTAAGGAATCCTTTAAAATGAGGGTTTTGATCTAAGAAGTAACTCTTATAATTCATGGCTACATAGCTGTATGATAACAAGCCATTTGGTTATCCGGGAATCTTTGGCATTTTCTGACATCTGTACTTAGGTCGCTTGTTTTGTTTTTCATCAATATGGCCAAGTTGTAAAAACCTTACATATTGAAACATATATACAATTAAACATAATTATAAACAAACTATAATTTTTAGATGAAAGTTCTAGGTAACTTATGAACTAGAGGTATATACAATTACATTTTCCTTCTTGTCAAACATTTTAAAGGGTTATAAAATTGGTAAGTTGTATCAAAGGCATTATACAAACAACAGAAAGCAGAAACTAAGGTTAGGCAAGGTTATCTGTCTTTTCTGGAATGTATACTATTTTTTTTAAACGGGCCATATTTCTAAATGAGTATCTGTGTTCTCATATAATACAAAATAGGTACTTTCATAACCATCTCAGTGGGCAAATGACAATACTTTAACATGCAATGGTATGTAGGTTATCAGTTATCTTTGTGAAGGAGGTTAAAAAAAAAAAAAGAGAAACAACCAAGGTATAAAAATGAGTGACACTGCTCTAGTCCTCCTATATCATGAAGAACGGCAACTGTCTGAGGGTTTGCTTTATAACCAGACAATGGTTGGTCCTAATTTGCCCAGGCTAGAAAATGCAAAGCAAAATTTGTGATTTACTGTTTCTAATAAAGACAATGTAGCAATGTTGCTAATAAGCATCTCATACATGATGAAAATCTAATACAAACATCTTTCTCCAAAAGGAACAGCATTTCAGTCTTGCCTTCAATACTGAGTTTTTGTTAAAGCACATTTCACTTACTCTCACCATATTAATTCTCACAAATCTAGTTTAACAAGTAGCCATAGACTATTTAACACAGGACTAAAAGACAAGTGCTATTATATACATACAATCAAACTTAAACTTAGCAATCAGGCTGCAGATTGTGTACAAATTAAAGGATGTTATAAAGAAAATCTGGGTTTTAAATTTGTTATTTTGTTTTAAAAAAAATCACCTTTACTAATAAGGCCAAGCCACTTTCACCTTTAAAACTGGGTAAACTATCATTCTACATGTGGATCTCAAAGTTACAATATCAAGTACATTCTCAAAATGAGCTGGAGAGGCCTAATCACACAGGTATCAGTGATTGTTCATAGACCCCAGGAGAACCCTAGAAAAAGACAAGACCAGAAATAAAGTTACTGATTACAAGCAATCTGCAGTGCTGAGCTGGAGTCTGGGGGACAGGAAGAGAGGACAGGTGTATAATAAGTCATAAAATAGGTGCTCACTGCTGTAACCATCAGCTAGAGCAAATCAAATGTAACTCAGGTGGCCATGAGATACATCATAATTTTCTCTCTTTTTCTTATGCCATGCTTATCTAAACCAGTAAGCATTATCAACTTAAAAACTAAAAACCTTATCAAGAACACTGAGAAACCACACTAAAATTTGTGGATAAAGTACACACACTAGCTTAGCTATTAATTCTTTTTTTTTTTTTTTTTGCAGCACACCGCCTTATGATTTTCTCTCACTAAATAATCCAGTCAAAATATGAGTCAAAAATGTGAATAAAAAAAAAAAACAACAAACAAACAAATAATTAAGACTTTTTTTGAAACTTGGATTTCCAAAATAGGGTTTCCGAATCAAACAGGAATAAAAATATCCATAGAAACAATTTCCTTGTGTGAAAATTTTTATGTACATAATTTATATATATGATTGCTCAGCTCTAACCTGGACTGTTTAAGTGATGTACCTAATTTATCAATGTAAGTAATACATGTATATACATACATGTATATTTATGAAAATGAGCATGAAAGAAAACAATCTACAAGCCTAAATTCATTTCTAAGGCACAGAAACCTAAGCTAGCAAATAAAGGACATTGTCACCTGACACCAATCTACTGACAAAGTACACTTACATCTGCCTTTACAACACGTACGTCTAGAACTAATTCAAGGTAAACAAAGCTGATTCCAATCAGGCACATTTATACTACTCAAATCATACAAAAGATGCATATGCCCTTTTCTTTTAAATTAAGTTCAATGCCTGCTCCCAAAGAAAATTATAATAGAAACCTTTCGTTTATATTGGAAGAGGTGAAAAGTGATTTTAAGATTCTATTTCTAATTAAAACCTCACTAATAAGCCGACTCAAAAGCTAACCCAGAACCACCTACATGAACACAACAGATAGCACAACATCAAGCATAAGTTTGCTTCTTAGCTGAAATACCCACAAACCAGACTACGGCCTAAGGAGACAAAAGTTACGGAAATGTGCAAGCAGCATGTCCCACAGCTTGAAAAAGGAATGTAAACATAATGTTGCTTACCACAGAAAATACATCGCAAATTAGTGCTGTCCTGGGTAGCAGTAACTTTGCTCTGGGCTGCAACAGACACCTCGGTGTTAGAAGCTTCGAAGGACAATGGGGCCACCTGAAGAACTTCACATTAACTAAAAGTGCTTTGAAATGTTCAAAATGGATTTATACATAGGTCCTATCTAGATCCTCATCCTGGAAAATTTATAATCTCATAGTTTAAATATTTCCTGAGTGATACAATTGAAGAATGCAATCTGCATTTTAAGAATGTATTTAAAAAAAAAACATTAGTGAAAATGAGGTACAGAAAGTTAAGAAACATAGCCAACAGAATTAATTTCAGGAGGTCTACTGTCCCATTTAGGAAAACTATATTTGAAGAAAAAATTCAGGGGAAATATTTAAAATTCATCTAATTAAGACTGTTCATTTATAGCAGCTGAAAAAAAAAACAAAAACAAAGGCTATCATTAAAAGCCATAATATATAAATCCACTGATATGAGATTATTTTGTACTTAACAGTAGCCAACAAGGTTTACAGAGACACACTTTACTACTATTTTTTCCCTAGGTACGACAATACACTTAACAAAACGAGTTACTAATTCTGTGTGGCCATGACAACCAGCCATTTAACCTACATGAGATTTACATTAAAATTTAGTTATCAATGAAATAAATTCATCAATTCTTCTTAGGAAGAAAACCTCAAAGAAAACGCATTAATTTCTGAAAAGAAATGCTTTATCCAAAATCAAGGTAATACTCAAAAGTAGGATGAGAAAAAAAAAATTCTTACTATTAATAACATGCAAAAGATACATCAATAATTTCTCTGAAAACCCTTTCCAGCAAGGAAGAGATTTTGTTTTCTTATGGGGTCTAAGAAAGCAGTTAACAGCTTAAATACATGTTGTTTTTAAGGAAGATCACATTAAAGCAAACAAGACATATTTTAGATTTACCTAAAAGTGTAATGCCTGCTAAGTAAAAAGTATCAGTAAATTCAGAACCAATCCAATTCATATTCAAAGGTTTATCTTAATATGGTAATAAGTCATAAATAATTTTTTTCATCATTTTTAGCAAGAGACAATATAATCCACTTAAATCTTAAATTATTAGATACAGTAGGTACTTCAAACATCAATAAAATAAAAAATTGATAATGCCAAATTTGTTAAGTACTTCTACCCCCATCTATCACCAAAGACGTATGAATGATACTTAAAGCAACAGCATAATCACAGGCACAGGAAGATAGGCTCAACAAGCTAATGAGATCACGCTAAAGGAGATAAACATTTCTGAAAAATTACAATAATTACATTTTAAATTTAAACCCCTTTATAAAAAGGTCTCACTGGTGTTTATAGATGCTACTTCCACAAAAACTTATTAGTAAACACACCTAGTTATTGGGTTTTACCCTTTAGTTCCTTTAATCCATATCAAACAGGAAAACATATAAGGAAAATTAAAAGAAAAAAACTTACATGAAAAACCTGAGAAAGTATCTTGTTTCTGACAGCAAAGAAGCTGCCCCATCCCATGAGCAAGCATTTCAGCAGAAAGTCACCTGACAATTGTCAGAATGCAGGCACTGTTATCACTGCAGGAGACTACTAACATTTTCCAACTAAGAACTCACAACCTTTCTCACAACTGAACTACTAAGCAATGCCCCTGCCCTTGTCATCTTTAAGCAGCTTCTTTCCGGTGACTTTTATTTCTGTTACCAAGTGAAACATTGATTTACTTTCCGATAGGGTAGCTTGAATTCTACTGCAGTTTGCATTTCCTGGAGATAGTAAATTATTCATTCCACCATAAGCATAAAACTAACAGCTTCCTGCTTTCTGTTGATGCTATTAACTCTTTCTTTACGCTGACAAGACTGATTATATAGGTGCATTCAGCATTGACTATCTATGAAAAGATACTGTTTCTTAAGTAAGTCATACTGTAGAAGCTTACCTAATTAGGGATAAAGGAAACAAGAATGTAAGTTTTGTTTTGTTTGAGACAGGGTTTCTCTGTATAGCCTTGGCTGTCCTAGGCTCGGTTTGTAGATCAGGCTTGGCCTCAAACTCACAGAGATCCACCTGCCTCTGCCTCCCCACGCGCTGGGATTACAGGCATGTGCCAGCACGCCTGCCCAAGAATGTAAAATTTAACACCTTCATTATTTTTCTAGACGTAATATAACCCTGTTGATCAACTATTTTGGCCTTTGAGCTTGTTGCAGATACTCATTTGTTTATTAATATAATTTGTAAAACATTTCAGGCCTTGGGCCCTGCCTTTACTACTCTTATCATTTAACACAAAACAAAACAAAAAACCCAAGGAATCAACTTTAAGTGATGTTATTAGTAGTACACAATGACAGGCTTTTAAGCTTTAATTTATACCACTGCATTTTATTATTACATACAAATACTATAGACCCTTAAGAGTATTTGTGCTTTGAAAAAAAAATTAGGTTTCTATTATTAACTATTAGTCATCTCATCTCAAGGTAATTTATAAGAGGAACATTGCTCATCTCGGCATTTTGCATTTCTGAGGATTAAATGAGATAATATTTGCTTGAAGACTGGCTTGAATTTGATTTGACTTTCTGGAAAGCTGGTCACGAGTGATGGAGTAAGCTCAATGTTCAAATTTAAAGGAATGGTATTCACACTTCTGACCATTTTAATAGAGCCCTTCATGACCAAGAGAGACTGAAAACAAAGGCGGTTGTGTTTGTTCAAAGGCTAAGATATCTGAAAGAGAAGTGAGGCCTCAAAATAGAATGAAATCGGGAACTGCAATGATAGTCACCTGCATTAAAAAAATAAATTCATGAAACAGACCCAACAGGTTGTATTTATATATTTATGTGGTGGCACATGCCTTTAATCCCAACACTTAGGAGGCAAAGACAAAAGGAGCTCTGTGAGTTTGAGGCAAGCCTGGTCTACAGAGTAAGTTCTAGGACAGCCAGGGCTATACAAAGAGAAAGAAGAAAAAAAAAAAAAAAAAGAGGCCATGATTTTAAGAGGGAGTTGTGGCATGGGAATGACTGGAAGGAGGGACACAGGAGGGTTTGAAGGTAGAGAAAAGGGGAAAATGAGGTAATCTACATTTTAATTAAAAAACTTTAAACTGTAAAAATAACAACCAACTTCCAGGTTTCAGGGCACTGTTCAAAGACATGAGAATTACAAACAATAAATTTATTCAAAGCAATGAAGACTTTAAGGTTGTATTTTAAAAATGCTTTCACAGTATTATTTAAAAAATTTTTTTAAAAAAATACATATTTATTACAATGTATTCACTTTGTACCCCCACTGCAGTCACCTCCCTCATCTCCTTCCAGTCCCACTCTCCCTCCCTCTTCTCCCCTTATGCCTTTTCCCTAGTCTCCTGATAGGGGAGGACCTCCTCTCCTATCTGACCCTAGCTTATCAGGTCTCATCAGGGCTGGCTGCATCATCTTCCTCTGTGACCTGGCAAGGCTGCTCCCCCAAGGGAGAGGTGATCAAAGAGCCAGCTACTGAGTTCATGCCAGAGACAGTCCCTGTACCCCTTATCAAATTTTGTTTTGAAACATATGATTAATAAAGGAAAATCTTCACCTATCTCAAGAAATAGAACAAGAAGTGTAACTAGAATCACATATGAAAAAAAAAAAAACCCAACATCATCTAGAGCTCTCATTTCTTCATTTAATCTATGTATATGTGTATCTACATGTACATGTATTTGGCTTTTGCTCCTTTGCTATTAAAAGGTAATCAATCCTCCTTCATTTTATGGCTTCAAATGTACTTTATCAATTCCTTTTAAAAAATGACTGCTAACAGTAGATCAACTGCAGATCATTTACTACACTGTACAGGCCCTTCAGTCCACCGCGTAAGTCCTCTAGCTGAAGAAACTTTTAAGAGTCAACTCAACTAGAAGCCCAGGGGTCTATAATTTACCAGTCCTGTCATATCCTGCTGTTGTAAGGCAACGATTACCTGTGCCTCCACATTCATTTTGCTGGTTCTTCTTCCTAAGCAGAGAGTAAGACATGTCCATCAAATCACCTTTCATGTCTTCCTGCCCGTTTTCACTAAAAGGCATCCAGTAAATATTCAGAGAAAATGAGACACTCTCAAGTGGTGACATGTTTAGTGTATGACTACAGTATCTGTTAACTCACAACCAGCACTACCTAGTTAGTTGCACAAACTAGAACACAGAACTCTGACACCCCTTTCTTTTTATCTTATGCTTAACTGATTCCAAAGCCTGTCCACGAACCCTCCCAACTCACACTGACACTGTTCTTGTTTGATGACACACTGCTTAGGAGTGGGCAGTGCCGAGAGGTCTAGCACATAACCGGGGAGGAGAGAAACATAACACTCCTGTTTGCTTTCCCCATCTTTTACGTATTTTTCCTATTCGTTTTATAACGTGTATGTTATACCAACACCGAAGTGTGTATGTATAATAAGCAATATATGGGAAAGCACAGGGCAGTTCTGCAATTTGACTATCAGCAAAAACTGAAACGCACAACAACCAACAAAAAAAAAAAAAAAGAAAAAAATTTTTTGAGATAGGGTCTTACTGTATAAGCACAGTTTCCAAAGAAATTCCTTTAGTCAAAACTCTGAATGTATACATCCATTCAGGGCAGCTCATCAAAAACCAGGACTCTCGTACTTACACAGGCCAACTGGCTCTTTTTCTATGGGAACCCTACCCTATGCTGCCTGTGTCCTTCTTTCTCTCTGCACAATAATTCATTATATTTTAAATAAGTTACTTACTAAGAAGCTTTTATCTAAAATAACACAGGACAGCAAATACCAAATAACATAGTTTGGGATTTGGTTTCAAAACTAAAAAGTACAATACATTTTATAATAGTTTTAGTGTTTTTAAAGTAAGCTGCTTTCCACTGTAAGACTTATCATATAGAATTAAATACAAGGCTTTACCATGTATTATTTGAAATGGCATTAAAAACTGTTGACACAAGACTAACAAAATGGCTCAGAGGTGAAAGTGTGA